ACCATTGTCCCTACAGACCCATTAACTCAGTTGTTCCAAATCCCCAAATGCCCAAAACAGCGACCTCCCTCTCTCTCTCTCTCTCTCTCTCTCTTTCTCTCCCTTTTTCATTCTCACTTTCTTGATCTTTCTCTTTCCCATCCCCTGCCTTTGATGGCAGAAGAAAGGCTAAAGACACACCATAAATAGCTGGAATTAATGCCTGACATAACTGAGGTGAATGCCTTCGTGCAGCCTAGATCTCCACGCTCCTACCAACCCTCTTTCTCTCCCATGTATTGCACGTGCACCTAGGTAGGTGCTTTATGTGCTTCCGTCACAACATCCCCAAGGTAAGTATTCCCATCTCCATTTTACGGAGGAGGGAGCTGAGCAGTTAGGTCATCTGTCCACAGCCACACAGCCAGTGGAAGGTGGCTCCTGGATTAGAACGCCAGTCTGCCTGAACACAAAGACTGTACGTTCCTGCTTCCAAAAATCACACTGAAATTTTATAGCACAGAGGGGCAGATAATAGATGTAAGTTCTACCATAGTTATAGAAAACTGAAATAGATAGGGATCTTTCATATCATAGACCAGTTTAATTTAGGGCAATAATTTCACATTCTGTGTAAGTGGCATTTTTTCTAAGCTGCCCCAAAATACAACCAGTCAAGTTTCATCATTGTTTTTCTTTTGTCTCGTAGGTGGAGAGAGCTATTAGAGTGCAAATGGCTCTACAGAGGGGCAACCAGAGAGGAATGTGCCTTGGATGTTTGAATGTCCCTGTGAGCTTGTCAACACACATTTATGAGTGACTTCTATTGGGTACAAAAGTGGACCAAGTCAGTCCCTGTCTTAGGAGACTTGACCCTACTTGAAGAGCTGAGGGATAAAAAGGCAAAAGGAGAACGCAGAATAAAAACATGACGGCTGTGTTAAGTACAACCCATAGATAACTAAAGGTCAGCTTCAAGGTCAGGAGCACATCACTGGGAGGTGTGGTAGTCAGGGAAGGCTTCTTGGAGGAGGTGGCACTTAAGCTGAAACTTTCAAGGATGAGTATCTAGAGGCGAGGAGGGTGCTCTACACACAGACTTATAAACATAGAACTAGAAGGAGCCACGCACATGATGACACACTCTCATTTTGCAGACAGCCACGTAGAAAACTAGAGTGGTTAGGGTTTAGGGAAGAGAACAGAAAGGGAGAACGCTGAGCTGGCCACTTCCGCTGCTGGGAATGGGAGGCTGCTGCTGCGAGAGGAATTTGGTGGGAGATAATGGTCAGAGGGCTGGGGCCAAATAACCTCAGCCCCTCAGACTGAGAAATTCAAACTTCATCCTGAAGTTTGGGACTTCTCTCAGCTGGGAATGCTTTGATGCAAGAAGTGCTTGTGGAGGCTCGGTCTGCCATGGTGGACAGAAGAAGTAAATGGAGGCAGTGGACCAGTGAGAGGTTATCGTAATGAGACATGTGTGATCTGGAGTGGTAGCTGTGGGCCAGATGGGAGAGACATTTGAAAGAAGGGGCTCACTGCATTTGATGACAGGTTAGCTAGGGGGTGAGGGGAATATTAGAGAGAAAAAAAAAGCTAACAGGCTAATTCCCCTCCTTCCCAACATATGAGATAGAACTGAAAATATTTTAAATAGGAAACATATTTCAGAACAAACTTTTTCCAGAAAGTATCTTCTTTCAAACACCATCCCCACCCCCCATGGATCTAACCTAAAGGAAAGGTAAATTTACCGTGTGACCACGGACTTCATTTTATATATGAGCCTCTTTTCCCTCCAAGTCAATAACGATGATAAAAATAATAATCTAGTTAGAGCCAGTGCCTTAGAAATGTTAATCCCCTTCAATGTGCTCCATGCTTTCCACACAGAAATATTGCACAGGGCAAAAAAGAACCAGATGTCCTGACCTGACCCATTGGTGGGCCTCATCCACATGGTAATGGTCGGGGAAAGCTCAATGCTCAGTATCAGAAATCCTGCTTTGTGGATCTTTAAAAAAAATAAACCATGTTAAATAAAACACACAAAAGAACCAAGCTCCTATCCATTCCCGTCTGGATACACAGGCATAATTAAGAAAAAAAAATGCAAGGTCACCCTTGCCACTTGTCTCTACTATTACAATGGAATTGACCATAACAATCTCCCCAAGGTCACATAAATTTCCTTAGAAGAAACGCGAGTCGAGCCCTTTTATTTCTTTGGTGCAGGTCCCCACTCCATCCAGAACGTGGTCAGTGACTACCTGGATTAACATATTTTAGCTTTCCACTCCAGCATACAAAGGGGTGTTGTAACTTAATGAACCTAGCTTTCGGATTCCCATTCACCTCAAGGATACGTCCTCGCCCTGTCTGCCTAAACGGCAGGACTCAGCAACAGTGCACCCCAGCTCTTTTTCACGTCCCTGGGAGATTCTCCGTGCTGAAACACTTTTTACAGCTGTTCGAATACTGATGGGAAATTCATGTGTGTTACCGGCACAAGCGCTGTCAGGGAGAAACCAAATGTCAAATGGAGGTATGTAGAAATCGCCATAAATATGTCTCTGAATGTTTACCATCTGGAACGGTAGACTCGGATTTTGACCAGAGACGGGGATTGCCCTGTGGGTACTGTCTTTCAAGCAGACCCTTCTCCTCCGTCACTTCCTACTGGGGGGACATCACACACAACTTCGCCTGCTCAGGGTGTGAATTGATTCTTTCTCAACACTTCTTTCTTGTTTCCATCTCGCCTAGTCCTGAGTTCAGTTAACTTCTGGGGATGTGGTGGGATTCTCCCATATTGTCAGCGTCCTGGGCAGGCAGCCTGGTGGTCAGTCTGCCATAATAGTGACTTATGCTCATGGGGCTCCTGTGGCTCCACAGTGACTGGCTTTTGTGAGATGCCATCACGCTGCCTCTCACAAGGAGAAGCCCATCTGTGATCAGGGGCTTTACTTTCCCCTGACATATTTCTGCGATAGTGAAAAACGGCATCAGTGGTCAGCACCGTCCCTGCTGGGTGTATAGTCCTAATCCTCACACATCACGAGCTAGGAGTCTGCCGTCCTGCCTTTATTTTTTTCAAACCCCTGTACCACTGTAAATCCAAAATGGAATGACAGGAATTCCAAAAGACTTCAGCTTATGAACTGGTTATGTAATAGTGGGAATCATACACTACTCAGTCATCATAACTGCCTGGTTATTTATGAGAATATTGTCTCATTGAAGACGATTTTTGAGACCATAACCAGAGAACATTCTGAATAACAACTAAACACTATACTAAAATGTGGTTTTCATCATAACTTTTTAAGAAAAGGATGCAAGCTATCAACTGGTTGCAAAGATATATACAGAACGTAACTCGAAACATACTTTTACAGGAATCTTTAAGCAGATAAATATAAAAAAAATCCCAAAGCACTAGCCTGTTATACAACCTATTAAACAGCTCCTATTTCAGAATAGCTTATATACAGTATTATTCATAGAATTTCTCACCTGCAAAGGGTGAGAATGGAATTGGGTTTCTCTAGCAAATGTACAAGTCCAGTGGGAGCAAGAATTCTTGAGCACCACAGGTGTACTATGAACTTGGACCTGGGAGGGCAAGACTGTTAGGGTGCAAAAGAAGTCACTTACTCACTCACCTAGCTTGATCAACAATTTGAAAACTGAAAATTTGATATTTTGATCCCCGTAAAAACAGAACGTTAATTTGAAAGGCCTTTTTTTTTACACCCCCAATTAAACATAGTATGTAAACCCCCTTGTTAGATTCAGTTCAATTTCATTTGGGTGGGTGCTTTGGGCAGAGTGGTTCCGTGAATGGCTACTCACATACAGGATGGACAACTCACTGTACGTGGCACAGGCAGAGGATGACCATTAATTTCCAGTGACTAATTTATAATTAAGACCTTTTAAAAAGATGTTTGTTTCTAACTGAGCCAGAAAATCTATTTACATTTAATTAACACTTCAGATAGCCTGTTTAGGACCCATAAATGCAGTGACTCTAATGATCCATTACAGGGTTGCTGCTTTCAGTTTTCAATGACTTGTAAAACTTTCCCAAACAGATCTGCAAATGAATTACCGCCAAGAGCTCCCCAGCAGCTACAGAAGGAGCGACGTTCAAGAGTATTTTCCCACTTCCTCCTCTTCTGCTTTGCTTCCAGCTCTAAGCATTTTGTGTTAAAGCTATTCTATCTGCTGCTCAGAGGGCAGCTGCTGCTCTGAAGGAGTTTTCAAACTTAAGAGTCCATCTCCCAAAAAACTTTAAAGGACGTAGGTCCATCATACATCAGACATAACCAACACTGCAAAAATCAGTTATAGCATTTCCATCTCTGCCAGCGACTCAGGAATAGACCCTGACTCGAATCTTTATAAAGGGAGCAGCAGTCCCATGCAACAGTTTGGAAGTGAATTTCAATTTTGAAAGCTAAAGGCTTGCTTGGTGTAATCCATCCTTTATGAACGATCTATAGCTCCCACTTGGAGGATGTAGTGAGGATATTTAAAGGTACAAGGACCGCTCCTTTCTTAGCTACACCTTCAAGAGCAAGGCATGAGGAGCGTTCATTCTAAACGGCAGCCAAGCACCAGGCTGCGTTCACTGTTATCTGTCAGCCGTACAATAGCAGCATTGAGAGGATAGTAACAACTGGCTTTGACAAGTGTGCTGTGCTAGCATTCCATTCAAAACTATGTCGAGAGAGAGAGAGAGAGAGAGAGAGAGAGAGAGAGAGAGA